GTGCCGCGCGCTCCCGCTGCCGCACCGCGCCTGGCACAGAGCGAGCGGTGGCCGCGCCGCCCGCCCACCTGCCCGCGTCCCCGACCCTTGCCCCGGATCCACTACCGACTGCACGCGCCCCACGCGCCGGCGCCCGCGCTCCGGGATCCACGGGAGACCCCCTCGCCGCCTGCCGGGCCTGGAAAACGTGGCTTCCCGAGCCCGCGGCTGTTCCTGTTTTCCCTTCTTACTTTGGCTACCGGGAAGCTCGGGGCGGACTCACTGAACCCAGCGCCCAGGTTCTGGTGCCTCACCTCTCCATCCTGCCCACGCCTCCCCCTGCCCACTCCTGTCTTCTCCGCTTATAGCAGCTGAAGGGGAGGAAAGGCTCTCCTAATAGTTGTCATAATAAAGTGAACTCTGGAAGACACTGGGAGATAGGACTCAGCAGCTGCCCAAATGCAGGGCTGTCCCCCGGACATAACAGCTCCACCGCCCCGCCGGCCCCCCCCCCCCCCCCCACCCCGCCCTGGACTGCCCAGGACACTATCCTCCCTGCCTCCCGTGGGGCTCTTGACCAGCAGCTGAGACCTGCCAGGGAAAGAGGCAGGGACACAAGTGATCAAGGGGAAGAAGCTGGGGTCTCAGTCCAGGGCCTGGGGTGAGTCTCAAATCCCCATGGTTGCTTTGTGATCAGAGGAGCACTTTGCAAAGTTAAGAAGCTCTGATCCCTCACTGATGGTCCCCACTCTGGGGGTACGGGTCGCCTGGCCCCAATCCCAGATGGGGTAGGGTGCTGGTCCCCGAGTGGCCAAGTCCTCCTTCCCCTGCGAAGCTTGCCCCTTACCACGCTCCTCCCAGACCCCCAACCCGACCCTCAGCCTCACCCAAGCCCCCCTGTCACAGAGCAGGGGCCTCCTCGAGGGCCGGTCCACACGGGCATGCCCAGCCACCTCCTCCAGGACACCCTCCTCCGGCCCCACTCACACCAAGGGTGCGTGTCCACATGGGCGCACCCCTACCTTTCAGCAGCAGCTGGAACTCCTTCAGCAGCACTTCAGGTGGGATGATGGGGCCAGGGGGGCCCTGGGGACCAGGGGGCCCCGGGGGCCCTGGGAAGCCAAGCTGAAAAGGAACCTCAGCAGTGAGGAGACATGTCTAGTGAGCTACACATCAAGAGCAGGTGCCAGGTCTCGGGCTAAAAGGAATGAGACAGGGAACCCCGCAGTCTCCAGGGCCCCCAGGCTCCCCACCTGTTGGGAACCACAGGGTGTGTCAGTCCAGCCTGACTACAACCCTCCCGGACGGCCGTCCCAGGCCAGCCCAGGCCTCCCTCCCTAGGGTACAGATGGAAGAGAAAGGGGGTCGCTGAGGGGGCTGCCTGGCTTTCCAGGGGTGCACGAAAAATGATAGCAACAGGCCTCAAATTCCGGGTCACCCGGGGCCCCAGCTTGGCACTTTCTGTGCTCTCCGACCCCAGGCCAAGGGCGAGGGTCTGTCCTCGCTGGCACTGCTCGGGGTGTGCCCGTGGGGCTGCGGAGGGGGGCAAGGGGGTGATGGTGGTGGGCCGGGGGTGCAGGGAAGGCCTTGCAGGTGGAGGCCCCCCGCTTCCCCACGGGCCCCCCCCAACACACACACACACACACACACACACACACACACACACTCCCCCAGGACACACACACGCGCACACACGCTGCTGGAGCTCCCGTGCTCACCTTCAGCTTCTTGGCCTTGCCTCTGCCTCCCCTCTTGCCATTGACGCCTTTATCACTCTGCCTGATGAAGAGCATCCAGGCATCCCTGGGCTCGATGCCGTGTGTCCCCTCGGCCGGGAGCTCCTGGAACATAGCCAGCCACACAGCCAGCCGTCAGGCCGGTTTGCCTCCCGCAGTGGGCGCCGCCCCCCCCCCAAGCAGACAGGAAACTTTTCAGGATGTCCCCGTGCGCAGGACGGGCCTTCCGCACCCTCGGGGCCTGGTCCTTGTCAACACTGGTGTCCTCAAAGCCAGCGTAGCCCCCAGCCCGAGCTTCCCGCCCTCCTGACACGGGGAGGGTGACCAGGCCGCACTGCAGCCTGGGCTCCGTGGAGAAGAGGGCCTGGGCCGCGGAGCACCGAGCAGGTGAGAATCCTGGCCTGGCTGGCCCACCTCTTCCGGCTTCCCTCCACAGGAGCTCCCTGGGAGCCCGCCAGCTCAAAAGTGCTCGGGAGGAGGCCACTGTGCTCACCAGGGCCCCCTGTGCGGCCCCCGCTGGAGTGCCAGGGACACGGGTTATGGCAGCTGACAGCACAAGAACGGGACGGTTAGGAGGCCCGGCGGCCTAGCACTGATCTGTTATGAATGCGGAGTGACACCACTCAGGCTCCTCAGGACCTCCAGAACAACGACAGGGGTGATTCTAGAAACATCCATTCCTGTGCATGCTGCATTCTGACCAGTGCCGACACGGAGCAAAATCCCAGGAGGTGCCTTTTGGGGAGAGGCCTTTGGCTCATCGGCCAGTGGGCCTCAGGTGGTCTGGCCCCAGGTGAGGCCACCAGCTGGGAAGGAAATGGGCCCAAGGGCTTAGATGAGGTCACAAGCCAATAACAGTGGCTGAAGGGAGGACGCCGGGGTCTCAGAGCTGGCCAGGACCTGTCATCGGAGACCGAGCTGGCGGTCTCCTGGCCACTCCACAGGGCCTGGGGCCTTCCTTCGGGAGCTAGTGTGCAGCGGTGGGGACAGGGGCCCCCCGTGTCAGAAGAGCCTGGGGTTGGACAGAGAAAGGGCTCAGAGTGCCCAGGGCCTCCTGGGCCGGGCGAGGTGCCGTCCTACTAGCTGCTCACCGTGGACACAGGACCGGGTTCCACTTTACGGCCTCGCTCTGCCTTCGTCGGGAACGCGTGCCCAGAGGGTTCCACAGAGGCTGGACGGGCGTGCCAAGCTGACCCTCCCAGCTGGGCCAGTACTCGGACCCCAGTTTGGTTTGGGGGGGCAGAAACAGGTGGAGGCGAGTCACCCTGGGGCGGGGGGAGGCGGCCCGTGGCAGTGTGGGTGGGTGGCAGGCAGCTGTCCTGTCCCGCTGGGGTCCCCAGCTGTGAGAGGCTCTCAGAAAGGAGGTGGGGGAGCCTCTGGTCCCGTGTGGGCCCCACAAACAGAGTCCGAGGCCAGAACCCCTCCTGGGAGCACCCAGGCCTCTTGCTTCCAGGTGACTGTATCCTGACACCTGGCCACCCTTCTCCAGAAAGCGTGACCCATGGTCTGGGTGGGGTTGGCCTTCCTGACTTCCAGTGGTGGGAGAAGCACTTCGGGGAGGCTCCTCCCAGGGAGCCCTCCCGCTGGCTGCCACCACCACCCTCTTTGGAGGCGGTGTCCTTGGCCTTGGTGGCACCAAGTGGGAGCTGAAGCCCAGCGCTGAGGGCTCCTCTGAAGTCCCCTCCTCCCACCCTCGGGGCCGGGCACTGTGCGCTGCCCTCAGAAGGAAGCGCAGGGCCGAGCTCAAGATCATCCCCTCAGGGCCAGAAGCCGCAGGTCATTAGGGGCCCTGCACACACCGCCCCCACCCCCGCCACGCTCCCCAGACCAAAGGGAAGCACTTTCTTCGTTGTTTTTCAGAGAGAACTGCGCCTAGTAAATTCGGGGAGCGGCGGTCACACTTTCACAAATAGGTGCTTCCCAATTTCATGCCGGTCGAGTTATTTACATTTTACCCACTTCCCAACTTCCTTCTGCCCCCACCCCGGGGAAAAAGCGGTTCACGCGGAGCCAGTGGAATTTTGCCCTTAATGCCGCAGAACTACCCCCAAAGTCCCGGCCAAGTTTGGCCCTGCCGGCGCCGGTCCGCGCGGAGGGGCCGCGTCCACACTCCCCGCGTCTTCCCGGAGCCCCGCCGGCCACGCGCTTCCACCGCACGTTAGGAAGGCGGACGCCCGGGCCAGCCCCGGTCTCCGCCCGCGACGCCGCGCTGCCCTCGGTGCCCCCACCCCTCCCCGGGATCTCAGGGACGTGCGCGCTCCGGGTGGGGAAACCGAGGCCCGAGGGGGTCCGGCGTCTTACCGGCGGGCGGGCGGGCGGCCCCGCGCGGTTCTCCGCCGGCAGCTCGTTCCCGGGCCGCGGCTCCCGGCGGGCGCGGCTCTCGGCGGGCTCTCCGGGCTCCGGGGAGACGAAGCCCGCGGCGGCGGCCAGCAGGCCCGCACAGACGAGGAGCAGGCGGGCCCCGGCGGGGCGGCGGGCGGGGGCCATGCGGGCGGCGACTCCCTCTGGGCTCGGAGCGCGGCGTCTCGGGGACCGCGCTCCCGTTCCGCGCCTTATAACGCGCTTGAATCCCCCGCCTCGCCCTTCGCGCGTCACGGCCCTGCGCCCCCTGCCGGGCCCGGCGCGCGCTGTAGCGGGTGTGCGCGCGCGCCCGTGCCTGTGCCTGTGCCTGTGCCTGTGCGCGCGTGTGCCTGTGTGCGAGCGCGGTGCGTGTGCCTGTGCGCGCGCGCGCGCGCCTGTGTGCGAATGCGTGTGCCTGTGCCTATGCGCGTGCGTGTGCGTGTGCCTGTGTGCGCGCGCGCGCAGCGCGGGGACGCGGTGGGCGCTGCCCTGGAGGTGGGGGGAGCGCAGCAGGGGGAAACAGGGGAAGGGGCGCTGCAGCCAGGAGGGTGGTGCAGAGAAGGGGTGAGGAGAGGGGAGGAGGGACCGCGGCGGAGCGGGGGGGGGGGGGGGGGGGGGGGGAACGGGGAGCGGGGGCCGGGGGGGGGGGCGGGGGGCCGCGGGGGGGAGTGCGTACAGAGAGTAGGGTGTGCGGGCGGGGGCGCGGCATAGGGTTGGAGGTGCGAGGAGGGGACCACGGGGACGAACAGGGGCGCGGGGAGGCGAGGCGGAGGGGGAGGCCTCGCTCGCGTTGGCCAGAGCGCCCCCTCCTGTCGAGCGGGTTTGCGTTCCATCTCCAGGCCCCGGGGCCATTCCTTTGCGCTGTCCAGCTCTTCTTCTCAGGGGGGCTTGGGTGCCCCTTCTTCTGGCCCTGGACCCTCTGTCGTCTTGACAGCCTTTTCTCTAGGGGGAGCCGGGTCGCTTCCCTCCTCTGAGCCTGGGAGCATCCCTTCATCCCTGTCTATTCCGTGCATGGTCTGTGGGGACCTCGAGGCATCCCATCCCCATTATTCCAGGTGGCGCCCCGTGAGGTCCAGGCCTTGCCAACATAGGTTTAGTACACCGGAGCGGGGACGACACCCAAAGACCCTACCCAGTGCCTCTTTCCCTGGTGGGGATCCTACGCTTCTGGCGCTGCCTTCTGCCCATGGCTAGGATGCCCTAAACTCAGAGTGCGCTGTCCTTCCCCATCCCGGTGCAGGGGCACGGCGGGGGGGGGGGGGGGGGGGGAATCCACAACCTGGGGCAGCCACCCTGCACGGATATGGTTGCACCTAGACCCAGGCTGGGAGGCCTGAGCCCTCTGGTGACCTAGCCAGGTGTGGGGGCTAGATTCCAGTGCCAGGCACAGGGCTCTGCTGGCATGGGGCACCAGATCCTGCAGGCTTGAACTCCAGGCTCCTCCCTGAAAAGAGCCAGCTCCCTCATCCCCTCTGGGCTGCTTTGTTCCCTTCCATGCCCATTGCCTTTCTGTCTCCCCATGGCAGGTTAGGGCATGGGAATAGCACCGAAGTGCCTGCACCTGGTGGGCACACAGTGTCCTTTGTTCACGAGTGGGAGAAGACGCAGCTAACGATTGCACCTTGCAAAGGTCTGCCCCCACCGAGGGTCATCTCTTCTGAACCTCACCCTGTCCTATTTCACAGAGTGTGGCAGTCGGTGGCTCCCTAGCCCGGGGGAGGGATCGTGGGTAATCCTAAATCAGGAGCCCCCCACTCATGCCCTGTTTTGGTGGCTGGTTTTCTACACCAGACAGGGAAGGGGTAGGGGGGCTGGGGGGAGTGGGGAACACAGGAAATAGTTCATATTTTAGAAAAAGCCTGGTATTCGGTGTTCATCGTTCTGTGATTCTGCCTCTTTTTCTGTAGGATGTGAATATGGTGGTAGAATTGGGGTGTTTTTGGGGGGGGTCACAGGGTTTAAACAAAAAAAAAAATACCCTGCCTCACCCTGAGAATGTGTTCCCCGGGGGTCAGTGTGTCCCATAGACTTATTCTGTGAGGATATCTTTCAGAGGCAAATTAAGACTACAACAGAAAAGTTCTGTCTTTAATCTTGAAAAAACAAATTTCTCAGCAGAATGAAGAATGGAAATTCCTATAGAAATTACAGATGCTCCAGAAGACAATTGAGAGATACTGGCTTGCATGATATGTACTTAACAGAATATACGGCCTTATTTTCTCTGCAAACATTCAGCAGTGTTGTCACTAACGAGGACATTCGCTCCCGAATCAGTGGAGGCTATTATAAAGCCTTCAAAGGATTAAGCATTTCTCGGGTGGGTTCTCATTTCTGGTCCCACGAGGAAAGTCTGTTAAGAAGCTGGGTGTGCAGAACTTTGTAATGACGTGCTTGTCTGTGCTGGGACACGGGCCTCGGAGTCCACTACTAAAATCTTGATCATTTTCATTTCTGGGGGGGGGCGGGGGGGAGACTTTATCTGGGACCACTGGACGCCAAACGTGGGGTGTGTTCTCTTTGCCGAAACCTGCAGTCTCCTGTTTCTGAAAAAGCACGCCCACACCCAGCACCTCGTCCATTTTTCATGGCCCGCACTGACTAGCCCAGAGAGGTGAGGGGCCTGCCCAGGGACACACAGCCTGGGCTTGGGGGTGGGGCCGGGCCCTCTCGCCCCCTGGGCGTGCTCACATCTTCACAGCCACAAATTTTGCCCATTACGGTCCTTCCAATTCTGGATGGCGAGAAATTGGAGCTACGTGATGAGCTTGCGGGTTATGGATGAACGCGTGGCCCTGTCTTTTCCCTGAGACAACCAGGTAGCACAGGTGGGGATTGCCCACGGGGTTCTGGCTGCGAGGGAAGGCCAGGGAAACGCACGTGGCTGGCCACTCTTGAACCCAGGGAGCGCTCCCCACTTGGGTGGTGGGTAGAATGCTGTGGGGGGCAGCCCTGTGTGGTGGGAGGAAAGAGACACCTCTTGGAGGCCACGTTCAAGCCCTGGCTTGCCCCCCCCCCCCCCCCGGCGGGTGGCTGGTCTGTCCTGGAGCTTCTTGGAGTTTCCTTCCAGTTTCCCTGCCTGCGAGCTGGGATTAAGGGACACATGCCCTTGGGGCTGCTCTAGGGTGAGCTGAGGTCACAGTGGGTGCCGTGTGGGGCCGTGAGGGAAGCCTGCTTGCCTTCCAGGCTGCCTCGGTGGTGAGGGTCCCTGGCCCGGGCCATCAGCACCACATCACGGGGGGCTGTCCTCAGACCTGCGTGAAGACGGAGGCTCCAAGCCTTGTCATGTGGCAGAGCATGATGGGAGCACAGGACAGACCCGGCAGTGGGTCTGCTCAGCAAATCTGGTTCTTGCTTGGCCACCTGGAGCAAACGTCATATGTGGCTTTGGAAGAGGCACATATGGGGCCTTTAGGCACTCATCCCTCTGAGACTCAGTTTGCTGGTTCTGTAGAGCGGGCATAGTGGCCGCTGCCCCCGAGCCTTTGTCTGGGATCCCACTCACACGTGAGGGATGAGCAGACAAAGCCAAGGCCAGGAGGAAGGTGGCCTCAGCACGGAGGCCGGGCTGCTTGGGCTCCCCACTGCTGGTTGCTGGCCTGGATCCCGTCTGCAGGGACGTGAGGCGTACTGCTGTCAGGGCCGGGTGCCATTTGGCCCACCTGATGCCACGGAAGGCGAGGCTCTGGCTGTGTACCTTTCACAGTGCCAGGGACCCCTGGGAATGGAGGGATCCATTTGGGGGCGTGGGGTCCCTAAGATGTTCACGTGACTTCATTTCCACCTCCCAGTGGATAGCCCCAGCCCGCCTGAGGGCTTGGAGGACAGCTTGGAGGACAGCTGCCATGTGAAACCCAGTTATTTTTCCAAACAGTGAACAATCCTAGTGATGTCATGGGCCCTGCTGGAGGGCCCAAATCAAATCGGTTCTGGTGCTGGTGCAGGCTCCCGTGACACCGTCCCAAGGTGACGACACAGCCTGGCCCTGGGGCGGGGGAACGCAGAGCATGGGGCCTGCAGGTGGGGCTCCCTGTCTGTTTCTGGGGGTCACATTTCGGGAGTGAAATCCGCTCAGAGGAGGGCAGGCCTCAGCAAAGACTCCCCCAGGTCAAGGAGCACCAGAAACAGGTTCCGGTGGCACCAGACAGCTTGTCCCCCAGCCCCCCTCTCCCCCTCGCGGCAGCAGCCCGGGGGTTCAGAGCCGGGGCAGCATCTGGGGCTGAGGTAATGGGTCTCAGGATGGAAGTACTGAATGAGTGGGCACAGAAGGGGGCCCAGACGGAGCCCGAGGTGGCCTCCCCCGTGCGCCCTCATGCCTGGCTGAAACCTAATCCTCATTCTTGGGCCCTCATGTCACGGCCTCAGCCCTGGCTTCCCATCAGACTGCTGCAGTCAAGCTGTTCTCACTCTTCTCTTTTCCTCCAAAGGAAGGACCTTTGCCGATGAAGTCATGGGAATAAAAGCTCCCTTTGCCCCCGAAAACAGTGGGAGCCTGAAGTCAACTTGTTGTGTGGCCTCCCAATGTCCAGGAAGGTGACCTTTGCTGTTTACTGGAACCTTCCAAACACATGACATCATCTAATGCTCGAATCGTGTGATTACCCCCATTGCACAGATGAGGAAACTGAGGCTGAGATCTTGGGACTGGGCCAAGGTCACTCGTCCAGGTCTAACCTTCACGACCTGGGGTCAGCAGCTCATTCAGTGAACATTTGCTCAGTTCCCCGCTACATGCCAGGCATGGGTCAAGTGCTGGGGGTAAGCCGCGCAATCCTGGACAGGTCCGTGGGCCGCCTAGGTCTGGCAAGGGAAGGTCTGGTCTTTCTCACTTCCACCCAGAGGGTTTCTTGGTGTATTTTCTGCTCATCGTTTCCATGTTTTCAATTGATTAACTTAAAAAATCAGCCTAGCTCACCTTCGAGTTTAATGTAAGAGGGTACATATTGGTGGCTCTGTCTTGCCATTGTGAGAAGAATTACATTCGTGTGGTTGCGATCCAATAACCCCAGCTGCTGGCCCTGAAGAGCCCTGGGACAGCCGATTAGCTTTGGGGAAGTGACACTGGCTCCTGGGGTGTTTATTCCAAGCAGGGAGGTTCTCTTTGCAGCCCACTTCCTCCTGCAATTAATCGACGTCGTGCCTGGCCACCCTCCCGTGTGCATGATCCAGGGGCCTGGGGGAATCACCTGCACGCAGCAACAGTAGCCACACTCCCGGCTGAGTGGCACTGGGGACCAAAGATGAAGGACATGGCCCCGGAGGAGCAGACGGCCT